AAACAAAAAAAGCCAGATTTTATTTAAAATGACTCAGATGCTCGAATTCTGCAGGAAATAAAAGCCCAGTACCATCAGCAGCATGGAGCAGTGGAAAGAGCACAGGGCTCTGGACAGGGCTCAGTCTGCTGCTCGTAAGAGAAGGTTCTTGTGAACATAAAATGATGGCATAAGACACCTAGAATAATGGCTGGGTAAAAGTGACAATTGCTAGTATTTTTTTCGGGCTCATTAACTAGATTCTGTTTGACAGTTTTCTTAAAAGCAGCAGCTTTAGATTCCTGGAGCTAAAAAAGAATCACATGCACGGCCTTTTTGCTTTTTAAATAACTCTATTACATGTATTCTTTGTGATTCTCACGGTTACTGTGTTTCAGACTTGACCACTAAACCTTTCTTTCTTTCTTCCAAAAAAAGGTGTTTCACGGCTTTCACCACAGCTGCATCAGCTTACAGTTACTATCATTATGGTCGAAAAACTGTTCAGGTGATAAAAGGCAGATGAAAGCCATCTATCATTGTTAGCAAGGAAGCAATATACATCATTGGTGGCAGGGCAAGTGGAAATCTACAGGAGTTTCAGTAATTCGGGGTTCACCTTGAAAAAGGACTTGTCAGAACAAACCATGTCATCAAAATTTAAGTAATGTGCATTGAAAATGAGCTTGATCATGGGCATATGCAGAATTTCCAATGTATTTTTAAATACAAATAAAACTATAATTTAGAATTTTGTATCTTAGGGTTCTTGATTAATTTCTAAGGTACCAAATTATTCCAATTACCGTCAGTCACTTTTTAATACCTTTTTAAGAAACATAGTCCAGAGCATGGAAACTAAAGAGATGCCACTTCTGTTCAACAGAGTTGAGATTGCTTACAAAGCACCAGGGAATTTAGTGGGTTTAAGTATCTATTGGATACAACTTGGCTACACAGTCTTATGTTTGATTTTTAGAACTGTGTACACACTAATAGTTTGCGTGGTTACTATTTGATCATTTAGGATAATGACAATAAAGGTAGCTTAGTGATGGATGAAATAGAATTGTGAAGAGATTTAAAATGCAGTAAATTTTGAAAATAATAAGGTCACAGCAGAAGGTATTGAAGTTCAAATTCAGTAGTCTTCCAGCCTCTCAGGTGCCTAACAGTCTGTGTATCAGGTTAGCAGGTGACACAGGGGGTTGAAATAGGAAAGCGTGGCCATTAGGCTGCACCAGCCAGGAGGCAGTGAGTTATATCCTGCCTTTTGCCATTTCTAACGTAGCAACGTTTGTATGATGTTGGAACCTGTACTTACATGTTCTGTAAATAATATGAAACTGTATATTTTTCAAAGGTTTTTTAAATTTTGGCTATCTTTTGTTAAGATATTAAAGGAATAAAAGAGCTGGAAAAGTGCCTTCAGTGCTGGTGGTCTGTTTAACATGCTGTGATCCTCACTGTTGAAGTTTTTTGATTCCTAAAGTCCATTCAAGTACATCACTTGCACTTGCATTGTAAAAATCATTTGTTTGGGACCATCTGACTTAAGTCCTTACTCTCACTCCACCGTCCTGTTTGGAAGGGTGGGAGACACAGAGAGAGGGACGAGGAAGACGATGGCTGTTGCTGGTTGCTTCCTCTTAACCGTGGAGGCCTATTGCTGCCCACTGTCCCAGGTGTCCTGTGGAATTGTGCAGTGAGCTTATCTAAGCTGTGTTAAATTAAGCTGTGTTAAATTAAGACGCAAAGTTATAAGCAAAATACATGCCTCTTGGTAGTGGCATCCTGGGATCAGCATGCCCCTCTGTTGCATTCGTCCTAGCTTCCTTGTTCCCAGGCTTGAAATGCACTGAAGCCTGCAGCCAGGGACAGTGTCACTGAATCCAGTCGAGGGTATATAAGGGAAGAGGAGGATGACCTGTGGCTGGCCATTCTCCCCTTCTGGAACCCCCTGTGTAGTCTCATAGCTTGGGTGGCGGTTAGGCTGGAGCTGGAATTCCCACCCAAGAGGCACATTGAACACATCTTGGCACCAGTAAAGTGGGAGCACAAAGGTGTTTTAAAATGAGAGAAGAGAACTCAAGATAAAGTAATTATGAGAAAAAATTGGGATTTTGTACTTCGTTATGTTTACTTCCTAGTTCAGTGTTGATGCTATTTGGAGTTACTCATGTCTTGGGCTTATAGTCTCTTTAGTATGAAGGTCTTAATCTGGCTCTGGTTAATAAACCTCAACCCTTAGAAAAATGGTACAAGTTTCTTGAGGGTTTTGGATATTGGACTGTTATACAATGTGAATTCTGCTAGTTTACAAAACACTGGAACTGTATTAGGCATGTTTGAGTGTATATTCATATGGAGCCAAGCACGACAAATTCATTTTGGTGCCTCCATATAATGGATTCAATCCTGATAGTAAATTTAAAAAGGCATTCAGATGATTACGTTTCTGAAGTCTCTGGTAGTCACATTTTTGGCTTTTGCTTTCCAGTTTTTAATCAGGAGCTGGTAGGTATCTTAAAAGATTGCTTAGTCCAGTTTTCTTGGTTACATATCTGATGAAACTTGGGATCCATCTTAGAATTTTGGAAAGCCTTTTCAAAACTTTAGACACCTTTTGAGGTGAGATTTGGGTATATTGAGTTTCTGCAGCATGGTTTTTGTGCCTCTGCACATTTTGGAAGCAAGATATGTGGGAATCAAACTTGATTTTTGTTTTTTTAATTAAAGATTTTATTTATTTATTAGAGCACAAGCAGGGGGGGGGGGGCAGAAGCAGACTCCCCACTGAGCAGGGAACCAGACACAGGGTTCAATGCCAGGACCCTGGGATCATGACGTGAGCCAAAGGCAGACACTTAACTGAGCCTCCCAGGTACCCAAACTTGATTTTTTTTTTTTTTTAAAGATTTTATTTATTAGAGCATGAACCTGGGGTGGCGGGGAGGGAGGGAGAGGGAGAAGCAGCCTCTCTGCTGAGCAGGGAACCTGACCTGGGGCTGGATGCCAGGACCCTGAGATCATGACCTGAGCCAAAGGCAGACACTTTACCCACTGAGCCACCCAGGTGCCCAAACTTGATTTTTTTTTTTTTTTCTTTAACAGAAATAAATGCTGTTTGGGATTGAATTGTGTCTCCCCAAAAGATAATGTTCAAGTTCTAAGCCCTGGTACTTGTGAATATGACCTTACTTAGAAATGGGATCTTTGCAGATGTAATCATGTTAGGATGAAGTCCTACTGGATTTGTGTAGGCCATAATCTAATGCCTGTTGTCCTTATTAGAAGACAGAAGTTTGGAAGTTATGTGCTATGGTGAGTGCCGTGAAATGTTTAAGCCTGATGATTCACAGACCTGTACCCCTGGGGCACATAATACATTATATGTTAATAAAAATAATTTTAAAAAGAGAAGTTTGACTTCTGGGTATATCCTGGAAGGAAATGAAATCATCTTGAAGATATGCACTCTGTGTTCACCGCAGCATTATTTACAATAGCCAAGACATGGAAGGAACCCAAGTGTCAATGGATGAATGGATAAAATGTGGTATAAATAGAGACAGAGAGTGATGTTTATTATCCAGCCATAAAAATGGAAACCCTGCCATTTGTAACAACGTAGATGGAACTTGAGGGCATTATACCAAAGTGAGATAAGGCAGAGTAGGACAAATTCTGTATGATTCCACTTGTATGTGGAATCTTAAAAAACCCAACTCCTAGAAACAGCAGTAGATTGGTGGTTCATACGGGTGGGAGACAATGGGTGAATGTGGTAAAAGGGTACAAACTTCCAGTTATGAGTAAGTTCTGGAAATGATAATGATCCCCAGAAGACAGCACAATGATTATAGTTAATAATGTATACCTGAAAGTTGCTTAGAAAGTAGGTCTTCAAAGTTCTTACCACACACAAAAAGGTACCCATGTGAAGTGAAAGGAACCTTTTTATAATCATTTCCCAATATATACGTGTATCAAATCGGGTTGCACACCATGAACTTACACAAAGTTATATGTCAGGTATAGCTCTGTAAAGATGGGGGGAGAAATATTTTCTTAAAGAGGGAAATTTGGACGCAGAGAATGCCATAAGATAATGAAGGCATCGATTGGATTTATTTGCAAACCAAGGAGCACCCAGGACAGCTAGCAACCAGAATAGGCATGGAACAGTTCTGAGTCTCCAGAAGAAACCACTCCTGCTGACACCTTGGTTGTGGTTTTCTGGCCTGAACCCTAAGAACAGATTTCTGTTGTTTTAACCCACCTAGTTTGTGGTAATTGTTCCAGTAGTCACAGAAAAGTGAAATAAATACTTAGAAAATTAAAATCCAGAAGTAATGACACACATTGTAATTTTATAAAAAACGCTTTTTTAACATTGGTATACAAGTGAAAAGGGGTGTTGAAAGGTGTTGCCCACACTCATACAAATCATGAAGGCACTGTTTGATGCAATGGAGAGCAAATGCTTTGGCTTCTAGCTAGAGCCTTGACGTTCTTTTTTGTTCATCTCTTAAAAGACCAAATCCCGGAAGTGATCCTATCCGTCTTTCTTAAGAAAAGGAGTTCACAGTTTCTTTGACCACTTACACTATGGAGAAGTCCAGTAGACAATGACTTTAAAAAGGACAGCTTGTCCTTGTGTTTCACAGAGGTTCCCAGAAGACTGCAGTTTTAACTACAAAGCTAAAAGCACATTTTTTTTGCCAAGAGACGCAGTAAACCCCAGGCAGCCTCAGGAAACATAACCAGTAGTTCTCCCTTACCCCAGTTCTCAGATTAAGAATCCACAGGAGTTGATTCCTTGAATACCACCTGCTTTAGCCAGAAGCTTGACCTGAGGGAACGTCCCTGAAAGGACTTGAGGATGTCACTTCCCGAATGGCAAGAGACCGAATTGTGTGAACTCTTTTATCTCTTTTTTATCTCTTCCTACTTACACACCCAATCTATTCGACGGGACACCGAGGGGCACGGGCTGCTGGAAAACACAACACACAAGGCTGCGCCGTGGCAACGGGAGCGGTCTGGTGTGAACTGTAACGTTTCCGGGCACAGAGAAGGCGGCAGGGAAAGCAGTGGTTCCCCGGACAGAGAAACCGCATGGCAAGTTCCCTTTGTGCCGCAAGAGTGCTGGCTTCACAGAGATTCACAGAGGCATTCTGAGCTGACAGGGTCCTCTTTGACCCTCTGTCTCTTCTTTTCTAAACACGGGCGGCTAGTTCTTAAGCTCCGGTGGAGGAGGGGGTGCAGAGCTAATTGAGTGTCTGGAGCTTCAGCGGGTAGTCGAAGGCTGGGTTTTTGTAGGCCACCAGGTGCGTGTCGTAGCGCTGCGGGCGTGCCGTTCTGCTGCGGTGGCACAGACATGCGGCCAGCAGCAGGGTGGTGACGAGCAGGAGGCCGCAGGCGGCGCACAGCCCCGCGAAGACCAGCACAAAGCTGGGCTTGGTGGTGAAGGCGGCGCACGCCCGCGTCCAGCCCGAGGCCTGGACAGGCTGGCTCAGGCCCGCGCGGTTGGCGGCCAGGACGCACACGCGGTACATGGTGCCCGGTGAGAGCCCATACAGGGGGTGCTGCCGGGCGGTGGCATAGATGTCCGCCACCACTGTCACGGATTGGTTTTCCGCCCAGCCCTCAGGAGAGTAGTGGATCTGGTAGCCGTGCACCACCGAGTTGGGGGCGCACCAGCGCACGAGGGCCGACGTGTCGGTGGTCTCGGTCACTGCCTGCAGCCTGGGGGGGTCCGGGAGGGTGTCCTCCCCGCTGAGCCCGGGGCATCGACACCGCGAGCGCCTTTGCAGCTCTGCGCATGGGGTCTGCAGGTGCTTGCAGGGGTGGTAATCACAGGGGACATCCTGGGGAGGCGCTCCCACCTCCTCCTTCTGCCCCTCTTCCTCCTCCTCACTGGAGTCGTCCAACAGCAAGACTGGAATCGCACCCTCAGAAGGACTCGGGTGAGGCTCCTGCAGAGTGGCCTGTGCCCTGTAGTCTGGCTGGGGCGTCTGCAACTGGCTCCAGGGGGTAGGGAAGGGCCCAGGGTGTTTGCCAGCCGAGGGGGTGGAAGCAGCTGACATGTGAGGCACATGGACCAGAATGTCAGCGTGCTCTTGGTGCTCTGCCCCAGCTGTGCTTGCAGCCCTGCGCAGAGCACTGGAGGTGCTAGAATCTGCTGTAGGGATGGCCATGGAGCGAGCAGTCCCCACCTTGATGCCACTGTGGGACCATGCGGTTTGTGTGGCGGAATCTGCGGGGAAGGAGGGGGGCTTGGTGACACTCTGTCCAGCTTCCACAGATCTAGTGGAGGGGGCTGTGCTCCATGGGGTGGTGAGACCCTGCGTAGATGGTTGGTGGGTGAAGGGAACAGCCTGGGGCGAGCTGGAATTGAGGGTGGTGCTTTGGTCTAGATGGCACACAGTGGGCAGCTGGGACAGCGAAAGAGGGGCTGAGAAGGTGTCTCGGGATCCTGAAGCCGGTACACACACAGTGTCTTCTGCCCTAGAGGGGAGACCAACCAGTTAGAAGGTGTTTGAGTCCTCAGTGCAGACAATCCCTCTCATCAAACCCAAACATGTCTGCTAGGTCCCACCGGCCACACACTCTCCATCCTTCACTTCCCTGACCCCTAGGGCAACCAGTGGAGTAGGCTTCCCTCATCATTTCCATTGGGCAGAGAAAGAAACAGAAGCTCAGCAAAAGCAACTAACTGGGATGCCTGGGTGGCTCAGTGGGTTAAGCCTCTGCCTTTGGCTCAGGTCATGATCTCAGGGTCATGGGATCAAGCCCCATGTTGGGCTCTTTGCTCAGCGGGGAGCCTGCTCCCCCCAACCCCCTGCCTGCCTCTCTGCCTATTTGTGATCTCTGTCTGTCAAATAAATAAATAAAATCTTAAAAAAAAAAAAAAGGAACTAATTGCCCAAGATAGCAAATGGCAGAACCTAAACCCAGGGCAGGTTTGTGAATGGTAGTTCTAATTCTCCAAGTGTAGTCTGCCATTTTGTTGTCACCTATCTACTTCCGGGCTGAGTACTAGTAATAATACTCATACCAGCTAACATTTTCTGAGTTCTTGCCATATGCCAGTAACTACTGTTAGCATTTTACTGTATCAACTAATTGAATCTTTATAGCCTTATGAGGTAGCCACTATTCTCCCGATTTTACGATGCGGAACAGAAGCACAGAGAGGTTCAGTAATGCAGCCAAAATCAACAGTAGTAAGTGGTGTGCAGAGGCTACATTCTCAGTCTCTTCATTAATACTGTAATGAGACCCTTCCCTGCAAAGGGCCTGGGTCCTTATCTTTGGAGATAACATGAGGGGGTGGGGGGGTTGACTGATCCCCACTTCACAGCTGGGTTTGGGTGGGACATAAAAAAAAAAAAAAGCACAGGATGGAGGGAGGTGTCTCCTCTAAAGTGTGCTAGAGGGGCTGGTGGAGCTGGTTTGAGTGTTTTCTGGTAGCCAGCCTGAGCATGGCTCCCCATGGCAAAAACAGCTCTTCTAGCCAACAGTCAATGGGAAGTCCTTGAAGGACTTCTTTTTCCCTGTCCCACAAGAGCTCTGTTAAGCCCATTGGCCTTGGGCTGAATGATTCAGGGGACCAGGCTGCATCTTGGGGACTCACTAGTGGGGCCCAGTAGTTAAGAGCACCATTTTGGAGGCAGATAGATCCTGCCTCCTCCACCCAACAGCTGCATGAACCCAAGCAAGCACTTCATCTCTTTGGGCGCCAACCCACCCATCAGTAAAATGGAACACAGATAAGCCTGTTTCAGCAGAGACAATCTAGCTGTTGACTTAGCCCATTTTCCCCCGCTACTGGGCACAAACCTAGACTACATTACCCAGCCTCCCCTGTAGTAGGTGTGGCCTGTGACCGACATCTGGCCAATGAGATGCGAGTGGAGATGAGAGGCCCCACCTCCTGTCTTGATCCATTAAAACCATCCTGTCTGTCCCTCCATGTTCTCCCTGCCACTCTGCCAACCTGCTCAAGAAGGGCAAGCCATAAGCTGTGAGAATTTCGGCTCACCTCTTAGTCATCTGCTTTGGAAATGTGTTACCTGCTTAGGACAGTCCTCTTTGCATCCCTGAGGAGCCAGGACAATTCACAGCTGCAAATGAGGGGGTTGCCAAAGAGGCTGATGGACAGGACTTGGGAGGAACGAAGGCTCCACGGAGGGAAAGAACTCAAGTTGCAGCTGAAACATAACAAAATCAAGTCAGGCTTTAAAAACCTAGTCAAAACTATTGCCAGAGAGCCATGGTGGTGTCACTGCAAAACCATTCTGTTAGGGCTTAGAGGATACTACTTTGGACCAAACTCTTAAATGACCTTGGACTACTTTTTTTTTTTTTTTTTTTTGTCATCTGTAAAGCGGAGATACCAACCAACTCAGTCACGCTCACCCCTCCTATCAAATGGAGACAGTATTCCCCTGCCCATGTGTTATATCGCCAAGAGTCTATGACAATGAAACCGTTTATAAGTGTACATCTCTACCCGAAAGTAAGATATTGTTATTATAGACCAGTCACAAGAAATGGCAGAAACTCTTAATGAGAACACTCTGGAATATGGGCTATTGCAGTTAAGCTATTGCTGATGGTACTCAACACTAGTCCTTTGAAAGATGCCTTGCTGGAGTGTATCAAGCTCTTGCTGAGAAGAAATTTCCCCAAAACTTAGTAGCTTAAAACAACAATTATCTGTTCTTTCTCCTGGTTCTGTGGTTCTTGTGGTCCAAGCCAGCTCAGCTGGGGCTGGAAGATCTAGGATAGCCTCACATATATGGAGCCTCAACTAGGTTTGCTGGGGTCTCCCTCCATATACTCATCATTTAGGAGGCTAGCCCAGCCTAGTGCACAGGGTGGTAGAGGGGGGTGAGGGAGGAGGGCTTCCAGGTGGGCTTCCCAGGAAGGGAAAAGCTCCAATCCTCAACTGCTTTCAAGCATCTGCTCGGGTCACTTTTGCTAATGTCCCACTCGCCTAAGCAAGTCACATGGCCAAGTGCAGCTTCAAGAGGTGGAGGATAGACTCCAGTTCTTGATGGGAGGAGCTGCCAAGTCACATTGCAAGGGGTATGTCCACATGGAAACGTAAAGCACATATATGAATATATACATATATGCATGCTTGCTTTCAGCCAATTTCACAGAGCCAGAGTGGAAATCTTAGAATCAGAGATCACTTAGCACTTCAGCATCCCAAGGAAATATTTTTCATTTTGCCTGAAGGGGGAGAGGGGAAAAGGATTGTCATCTTTTTGAGCAGGTAAGGTTCCCCAGGGCTTTACAGTCATTATCTCAGTGACATCATTATGACAAATCAGTGAGAGAATGATATTCTGTTCATTCTACAGATAAGGAAAATGAATCCTTTCCTTATCCGGCAGCCCTTTCTGCCACCAGGGCAGCTTGCATGCGATGAAATCAATTTGAATCACCACCTACATGGAGGGACGGGAGGGCCTGGCTCACATCCTGCTGTGGGTCGCATTGTAACTTACAGAGCCCTAGTGTGAACGAAGGTTCATTTGCTCTCCTAAATAACCTATTTTTGATTTTTTTTTTAAGATTTTATTTATTTATTTATTTGACAGAGATCACAAGTAGGCAGAGGCAGGCAGGGCGGGGTGGGGGGGCGGGAAGCAGGCTCCCTGCTGAGCAGAGAGCCCGACGTGGGACTCGATCCTAGGATCCTGGAATCATGACCTAAGCAGAAGGCAGAGGCTTTAACCCACTGAGCCACCCAGGTGCCCACCCTTTTAAGATTTTATTTATTTGGCACAGAGAGAGAGAACAATTAGGAGGAGCAGCAGGGAGTGGGAGAAGCAGACTCCCCGCTGAGCAGAGAGCCCAACATGGGGCTCAATCCCAGGATGCTGGGATCATGATCTGAGTTGAAGGCATCTGATGCTTAACCAGCTGAGCCACTCAGGTGCCCCCTCTTTTCACTTCTTTGCTGAACTATTGCCCCTCCCTCCTGCATGTCAGAGGGGACTGTGGAAGGCTCTGGGCACACTGGGTGGGCAGAACAGCCAGGAAGGTGGCCATCCCCTCACTGGTGGGCGGTGGCCATGCCAGGGCACCCAATATGACTATTTAACACAGGCCCCCCAGGGAAGGCTGTGGGTGAGCTAAGGAGAGCAGAGAGTAGGCCAGGCTAAAAGTGGGGAGAGGGTCCAGCAGGGCAGATGGAGACACTTGAGAGCACCAAGAAAGCAAGTGGCTGGCTCCTTCCCCACCCCCTGGCTGGAACACAAGTGTTACAGTGGGGGTGAGGGAGCCTAAGATGAGCCAGAGGGATTAAACCTTCTCCTTCGGCCACAGAAGGCACTGCAAGGTTTTCATTTGGCAGGAGACTCAATCAGATTATGATTTAGACAGACCTCTTGGCTGAATGTGGTGACTGGATGGTAAGTGTTCTTACCCTGGGGTCCGTGGAGGCGGGGTGTGTGACCAGGGATGGGGTCAGGATTTGAGCCGGGGCAGCGTGGTTCCACATCTGATACCTTCCATATGAGTCTGAGGCTCAGAAGAGGAGTCGGAGCCCGAGAGGCTAATAACCCTCTCACCAACAGCACTACCACCACCATCATCATCACGATTACCCTCACTGTCCTCAATTCACCATCATTACCAACAACATCACCGTCACCACCATCACTGTCATGGCCATCATCCCCATCACCTTCTTTACCAGCACCGTATCATCTTCACGAATGGTACAGCAAGTACCGTAATATGTCAGGCACTGAGCTAAGTGCTCTGCGTGTTCTGTTTCCTTTGTTCCCACGCCAAACCCCAAAGTGAATACTCGGGTTATGGCTGGTGCTAGCAGAGAAAAGAGAAAATTGGCTACTTTGAAAGTGATGAGGGGCAAAGTTGCTTCAGGGGTCCAGATGTGGGCCCCCAGGAAAGGAGGTGGTCTGGGCTCACCTTCTTTTTTTTTTTTTAAGATTTTATTTATTTATTTGACAGACAGAGATCACAAGTAGGCAGAGAGGCAGGCAGAGAGAGAGGAAGGGAAGCAGGCTCCCTGCTGAGCAGACAGCCCTACTCGGGGCTCGATCCCAGGACCCTGGGATCATGACCTGAGCCGAGGCAGAGGCTCTAACCCACTGAGCCACCCAGGCGCCCCTGGGCTCACCTTTAAAGGTATGCTGCCCTTCCTGCAGAAGTCAGGTCAGGAGGGTGAGTGCAGTGACACTTTGGACAGCCAGGCCTGAAGGGACAGACCCTGGGTCCCAACTGCAAGTAGGACCATTCTGTCCTCTCACATTTCCTCCCTAGACCCATTCAAACCTCGGAAGGGCTGAACTGCATAAACCCCTGCAGGTGGGTGGGGGGAAGCAGGTGGATCCAGTAACAGAAGACCCTGATGCCTCCTGCCCTCCTCCCACAGCAATTTCTCAGCTTGGGCTTAAAGGAGACTCGACACGCATGAGAGTTTGGAGTTTTACTCTTACTCTGGACAAGACTGAGTTGCATGTTTATTAGGCCAATGGACTATCTGGTACCCGATCAAGACATCACCCAAAGGAGGAAGAAGAAGAGAAATCCAGGGAGGATGCAAAGGAGAAGAGGGAGAGAAATGAAGTTCTGGTTAGCGCTATAAATGGTTACATGTGTTCAATTTAGTGTAATGGGCAGAAATCAGTTACGGGATCCACATGTGTCTTAGAAAACACTTCTGGGGAGGCGCCTGGGTGGCTCAGTGGGGTAAGCCTCTGCTTTTGGACCAAGTCGTGATATCAGGGTCCTGGGATCAAGCCCTGCATGGGGCTCTCTGCTCAGCAGGGAGCCTGCTTCCTCCTCTCTCTCTGCCTGCCTCTCTGCCTACTTGTGACCTCCGTCTGTCAAATAAATAAATAAAATATTTAAAAAAAAGAAGAAGAAGAAAGAAAACACTTACTTCTGGAATAGAAGGACCTGTAGGCGAGGAGTGTCTTGGAAGAGCTGTGTGTGGACAGAAGTCAGGGCAGACGAGTCTTGACAATCCAGCTGCTGCAGGTTGGGAGTCATCTTGAAAACAGCCGCCTCCAGGATCCGCAGCCTGGGCATCTTCCTCAAGTAGAGAGATGTGAGCTTCGGCAGGTCGCTGATCCACCCTGACCGAACTGAAATACAGAGGGGTAAACTGCCCACTACCCAGGAAGGCACAAACCCGTGAGGCCAGCACAGCATTAAGGAAAGAAGGAGACGGAGGAGGAGAGTCATAAAGGTCATTAATGAGCATGGACAATTAACAGCTTTGGGAATCTCAGAAGCATAGACCATTTCAGTTGGAAGAGCCCTCAGAGACTCACTAGGCTGCCTGCCTGCCTGCCTGCCTTCCAGCCCTGGGGTAGCTAAAGTCAGAGAGGAGGAGGACAGGCCCAGGGCCACACAGCTGGGGAGAGATGGCGTGAGGACTTGAACCCAGGAAACTGTCTCCAAGGCCGCTGTTGCCCATCCTCTTGTTAAACTTCACAGGGAAATACCCCAGATTTCACTCTGATGGCTACCAGAAGTGGGGATGATTTTGAGAGGGGTAAGGGAGGGGGAGAGGAGATCAAGGCCGAAACCTAATTTTGTGGCTCCCCTAACAAATGGAGAATGTGCTACTTTCCCTGTTTTCCGTTCTCGCTCTTTTTTTCTGTCCACGGTAGAATAGGCATATATAGTGTTGTTGCTGTTGTTGTTTTTAAATAAAACCACCCTAGTGAATCAGTCGAAACATGCCAAGTGCATGTGTCTTGTTTGAAGATTCAACGTTCACAGAAACCACTTGAGCCAAACCAAGTAGAAAGATCAACGAATTCATGCTCAGGTTAACTGCGTGTTTGGTGCTACCTTCATTCATTACTCAGCCTCGAAGCGATCCCACTTCCCCATTCTACAAGCGTTTGTCAGCTCCGCTAGGTAGCAGTAAACAGAGTGGCTAAGGCTGGGCTCTGGGCCCGAATGCCCGCCCGGGCTCAGATTGGAGTCACCACTTAAACCGCGGGCCGCTCTCATTCCCCTGTCCGCGCCTTGGTTCCCTCCTAAGGAAAGCGGAGATCCCTACTAACAGTCCCCACCTCTCGGGCCTCCAGAAGTTAACCACCCTGTGCCCTTCGAACCGGGCTGTTGGGCTCTGCAAACCGAGGTGGGGCCCTTTCTGAGCCACACGGGGAGCTCGGTGCCCTGGTCGCCGCCCCAGCCCCCACCCCGGAGGAAGCTCATGGCCCAGCACTGGGAGCGCCCGCCCAGCCCGGTTCCGAACTCCCGGCGCCGCCCGGACTCACCGCGCTCCAGGAACGTGCCGCTGAGGTCCAGGACCTCGAGCGCGCCGCCCGCTCCCGCGAAGGCCCCGTCGGCGATGCCCGCCCCCGGGTCGCGGTCCAGCGCGGTGCCGGAGAGGTTGAGGAGGCGCAGCGCCGGGAGGCAGGCGAAGGCCCCGGGCTGCAGCGCCTGCAGCGGGTTCCCGGTGAGCGCCAGCGAGCGGAGGCCGGGCAGCGCGGGCTCCGCGCACGGCGGCAGCGTGGCCAGCCGGTTGTAGCTGAGGTCCAGCGTGTGCAGCGCCGCCGGCCCGCCGGGGCCCCAGCGCAGCGCGGCGATGCGGTTGTGGCGCAGCGTCAGAGCCTGCAGCCGCGGCAGGGCGCCGAGCTCTGCCGCGCTCAGGGCGCGCAGCAGGTTGTGGCTGGCGTCTAGGCTGCGCAGCGCGGGCTGCAGGCAGTTGGGCAGGCGCTCCAGGCTGCGGTTCGCCAGGGTCAAGGTCGACGCTCCCGCGGCGGGCAGCCCCTCGCAGGGCGAGACCGTGGCGTTGGCGGTCCCGCTTTCCCGGGAGTCCTGCCGAGTCAGCCGGAAAAGAGGGCCCCTCTCCTGGGGAGGCCCTGCCCAGCAGAGGTGCAGCGCCGTGGGCAGCAGCAGCGGCAGGGGCAGCAGGACCCACCACATGGTGCGTGGCTGCGGAGAGAACAGCGGGACAGTCCCTTCAATGCGCAGAAACCCGGAACGAAGGGGCAGACGTGGCGCTCTACCCTCCCGCTCTGCGGCGAAGCACAAGGGCTGGCTGTTCCTTGAAGGACGGGACAGGGATGAGGGGGTGTACCTGTGGCACCTCGTGCCCTTCCCGCTCCCAGATGCCTTTCCCTCTCCCAGATGTCTTTCCCTCTAATTCACTTGTGGGTTAGCATCCCCGAGTGACTTCTTGCAGAGGCCTCCTACGTCTGTCCCCTCGGGCCCGAACTTCCAAGTAACCTCCTCCCTTGTCCCCATTGCATGAGCTTCTGGAGGGAAGAGACTGTGTTCTTTACTGCCGTAAACTTGCCCCAGGTGCACAGATGCTGCTCCAGAAACGTCTATTAATAATGAGCCGGTGAAAGACCTCAGTCAGGAGAAGCTCTGCCGGAACAGGAACATGGGACTTACGGAAGATTCTGTCAATTCCAACAAAACTGTTGCCTCAGTTTTTCCCCTTAGAACGAACGGGCCAGCCACAGGTGAGTCGGATTTGCGTTTGACCTGGTTTGCAGGTCATGGTTTAAAATGAGTTCTGAGGGCAGAACTTTCTCTTCAGATGGTACTTGAGATGGTACTCCGAGTTCCCTTTTGGGAGGAAAAGAGCCCCCAGAAAGCTGGGAGGCTTGGAAACCTGGACTCAACGGTCATAGCAACAAAAGCCAGAGCCCCTGAGCTCAGCCTTGCCCTGGAGGGGTGGGTGAAGCCTTCTGGGTGTGGAGTTTCTAGAGTCCTCAGAATTTCTTAGGACAGTTGGGAGATCAGGTAGGGGTAGATCAAAAACCCTTTCACATGGCCCCATCTCTGCAGGTGTGTATCCTTTACCACTGTCTCTCCCGACCTCCAGGTTTCTGAGCAGCCACCCAGGGAGGGGCCTCTCTTGCTAGCTGGGGGTCCAGGCAATGAGAAGGATCCTGGAAACTGGGGCCAGGAGTCCATGCGTCTGGCAATATGTCATACTCACCCTAAGCTGTCCTTTTGGAATGTGGCACCCCTTTGCAGTCCTCTATCTTATATATTCCAGAGGTCCGTGACTTAGACAGCAGCTCTGCTCCGAATTCCAGAGGAATTCTGTTTCCCAGGTACCCCTGCTCCAGGCCCCACCCACTGAGAGGGCCTGAGATACTCCAGTCCCTGCAGCTCCTCCTTCCCCACCAAGACTGTGGTTCTTAGCCAACACTTTTCAAGGCCTGTTTCCCTCCTCCCCTGCGCTGGGCCTGGGCCTGCCCCTTTCTAGGCCTGGCACTTCCTTCCTGCCCTCCCCCATCTTTACTGTTCCCTACACTGCCTTTCCAGAGCCTGACAAAGGGAGGGAGGCAGCTCTCCCTGGCCAAGGAGACGGTGCTAAGGGGTGCAGTGAGGGAGAGGAATCTGATCTTCCTGCCCTAACACAGCTGATGAAAACCCCTCAACTTAGAAACCCCAAGGGGAAACTCCACTGGGGCCACCCCTCCCTCTCCGGGAGCTTTGTACTATCGCTGGGTAAGCTTTGCTGCCCACTACACGTCATCTGGTCGACCTCTTCATTCTTCAAAGCAGTGGGACCAAGAACCATGGACTCTAAAGGCAGAGAAATCCCACAACTAAACCAGATCAGGCGTTCCCAGGAATCATTAGATTGGTTTCTCTGGGCCCCAGTTTGGTGACAGCGTGGGTGTGCGTTTCTCTGTTTATCTTGTGAAGAGAAATAAAGATGGCAGAAATGCAGAAAGAAGGTTGCTGCCCTGCGCATGGCTGGGGCAATTGATACTGGCTACCAAGAGGTCTCCCAGGCTACCCAGGTCTACCCAAAGCAGTGCTGATGTTAAATATGCTTTGTTTAGTGCAGACAGAGCCCTCCTCCCCCAGAGATCCAAGACTGGTCATTTTGTCTGAGAGCCTTTGAGCTCCATCCCCCATCTCTTTTTCTGACCTCCCTCCTTGCACCTTCCCCCCCGCCCCAGCCGGTTAATCATCCCCAGCCTTGTGTACACAGACAAGGACCAGAACTTCATGGATCTTTCCTCCTGTCAGTCCTTATCTGAGAAGCCCTGAGGAACTCCAGGACACCTTGGAAACTGGCATGTTGTGTTAATTGGATAATTGCAAGTCCCCTGGGATCTCCTTTGAGGATTTCTCTACTGAAAGCCTCAAAATATCAGCCTAAGTGCCAGCCCGGGTCTTGCTGCTCAGAAGCATTCCTTCATCTGCCCTAGGTGGGGGAGGGGAGAGGCCTGTTCTACACAACCCTGTCTGAGGCAATGCAAGTCCAGGGTCCAGGCCCCAGAGCCCCTCCCTGCCAACCTTCTCTCAGTTAAACCAGCCAGGTCAACCCTCTAGGCCAGGAGGGGTTTGGGGAGCACAGGCAAGGCTCTCAGATCAGAGATGAGAGGGGTCAAACTGAATGAAACAGAGACCCTGAAGAGAAAGGAAGCTGCCCCCCCCCATAAGCCTATAAAAGAGGATCCCAGGGAGCAATGCTGGGTCTTCCTCTGCACACCAGTGGGGCAGGGGGGCTGAGGAACCCCACTAAGGTCATTTCCCTCTACTTGCCCAGAACCCCAGGCCTTCTGAGCCAACATCTTCTCCCTGCGGCTTGCTGGCTAGCTCACCCATGGTGACAAAGGCCCGGCCTGGGCAGGATGACTTGATGTCTGAGCTTGGCCATCTGGTTTGCTCTTGTCATAGCCAACCCAAGCAAACACACCCTTGGTGGGCTGCCCAGTTGGGATTTTGAACCGGGGAGGTTGGTGGCAGGCTCTTCATGGCAGAGTTTGCTTCCTGATCTTGCCCAGGTGGCCAGTTGGCTTTGCCCCAGTGGGTACCACAGCTTGTCACCACAGCCATCTTTTAAAAATCCGGCATCTAAAAAAAAAAAAAAAAAAAATCCGGCATCTACTATAGTGAGAGCCTAGTGCCATATGCATGTACTATTATTCCCATGGTACAGATAAGGAAACTGAGGTTCACAGGTGCTGCCTAGGTTCTGGAGCATGCAACTAGCTAGTCTGTCTGGCTTAACCACTGCTTTATATTGCCTTCCATAGGCCTCAGCATTTGACCATGTAATATGCCCTGTAAGCACAAGAGAACATTTTCCAAATATTTAGATAGCCCCAAATCATGCAAGAAGCCAGGACAGCTGGGAAATTCCTTTTCATAGGTGAGCAGCTCATTTTCAGAAGAAACAGAACCAGCTTCTTGCACCCCCGAGGGCCCAGGACAGAGGCAGACATCTGGCCAGGGCCTCTGGGTACCTCTCAGGATGCCCCGGCCTTCTCCTTCAACCCCTTCTCTTCTAGCACCTCTGGGAGGTTAGGAAAAGATGACTGAAGAGTTCATCACCCCACAGACAAGGATGCTAAGGTCCCACAACAAAGTCCTGGGACCAACAAGTTTGCCATGCCACGCCAAATGCCACGCCATGTCCTGTCCTCCATCACTTTACCCAGGTGGCTCCCTCTGCCGAGATGCTCTCCGCCTTGACCACCTGACTCCCCATTTAAGCTTACCCTTCCATATCTACTGTGGGTTCTCTTGAGAGTTGACCTTGAGGGGCACCTGGGTGGCTCAGTCAGTTGAGTGTTTGCCTTTGGCTCAGGTCATGATCGCAGGGTCCTAGGATTGAGCCCCATGTAGGGGCTCTGTTCCGAGGGCTGTCTGCTTCTCCCTCTCCCTCAGTGATGGCTCCCTCTCTCTTTCTCTCAAATAAATAAATAAAATCTTCCAAAAAGAAAGAGAAATGAGTTGACCTTGAGATAAGGACCTGGGGGCAGGTAGTTTATTTGGGAGGTCACCCGGAGGATCATGGAGGGGAGCAGGAAGTGAGACAGGGAAGGGAAGGCACTGCAGCTGTGTTAATGAGCAGCACAGTCAATCCCACTGGGAAGCCCTGAGAGACGTGAGGGGAAGCACCCCGCAGGAGGAAGTGGTGAGAAATTGGGGCTATTTACTCACTAGCTTCTGCTTCTTGTTGGCTCAAGGGTTCTTCCTGTGGCTTTAAGTCCCTGACACTCCTGGTTTGTCCTGAGCACGAGTTGAACAAATCTGATAGGAGTGGGCATCGACAACATCAGCAATAGCACCCTTCATGATTTTGCCCGGGCAGGCTCTCCCTTGGTGGGCCTCTCCCAGGTGACTCAGGCTAACTGCCATCAGGTGGGTTGGCAAGTCTTCTCCTTAATATAGGCATTAAACTTCCTGAGACTTGAGCCACGTTGTTGTTCTCAGCAGCCCTGGTGCCCAGGACTGAACCTGGCGCTTGTGAGAAACATTGCACAAATGCGTAAGAAGACTACTCAGCGAGTCACAGTGTCCTCCCCAGTCACCAGGAGAGGATGGGACAGGACTCCAAACGGTAAACACTGAATTCCCAGGCCTCCCAGCATCCCAGCATCAAAAGAGCTCAGGTGAGGGTGGACAAGGGGTCTGGTGGGTGGGATGGGGGTGGAGAGAGAGAACGGAGTCATAAAGATTTTTCCAACCCAGATTCCCCACACTCTTACGGATTTGGGGAGGAAAGATCTCATGGAAGTAGATCACAAGGTCAGAGTGTTAGTGAAACCAAAGCCTGCAGGGGGAAAAAAAGAAAAGAGCCCCAATTAATTATACACTTGGCCACACTTGTTTTCTGGACTTAGTTCAAAATCAGACATGTGGATTCTTGGCCTTAAAGTGCCTTTACAACTTGTCTGGTTCCACTCTTCCCTGTCCATTTTAGAGGGAGGAAACTGGGCCCTAGGGAGGACAATTGGCTTGCCTGAGGTCACATAGGTGAATCCCAGTAATCCAGTGAGAAGGAAGGGTGGCCTGATTCTCATTCTAGACTGGGCTCTGGGCTCATTTGCATAGTGGACCGGGTCTCACCAGCCCTGGCATTAGCACTGTGGGTCTTTCCCACCTTTTCAAAGGTATGGCTAAGTGAACACACCTGATGAGTGTCAGGTTGCTAGGCAGAGTTTCTGGACGTTCTGATCCTGCTCTCCCCCTTCCCATCCCCAGAACTCCAGAAATAAAGCCCATAATATACGTTGGCCCTGAGATCCAGAATTGGTGCTTCCCCTGCAGCTTCTTCCAGCTCTGTTCGAAGCTGCAGCAGCCTGGGATGGCCTGAGGGGGGCTGGTCTGGGCAGCAGGTGACTGTTCAGACAGCCACCCTTACCCCGCTTTCCAGATGCCAGACGGCTCTGCTGAGGGCCCTTCCCCTGAGTGCTGGAGCCGGAATGTAAAAGCTTATGAGAGCCGGAGGCTGCATTCTTCTCTGACAACAGAGATAAGCTGGAGGAATGGGAGGGGGCTTGAGGGAGGAGTCGGTACCAGGTTATGGAGTCTCCGGGCAGCCAGCTCTCAGGGAATGGTATGCAGAAAAGAGGCCTTCAGGTGGTGGGGACCAAGACGTCCGTGTGGACTCTGCTGACGCGGCCCACCTGCCTATGAGGAAATGATCTTCAGGGAATAAAATAGTCATGGGTTGAACTCATGGTATTTTCCTATTGCTGCAACCCTCAAGAGCAGTTAGGTTTTTAGCATAACGACTAGTAGAATGCTTAGAATTAGAAATACATATATCATTTGCGATTCTGTAAAAATCCACAGTGGTAAAATCCCACCTGAAATGAGAGGTCAGACTTGAATCTGCTGCTTTATTTGGCAGGTAGCACATGGAACAAGACAGTACCTGGGCTTTATTATAAAACACATTCTGGAATTTATTACAGCCTGAGGCAGCACATGAGGGGGAAGGTCCTGAAACTGGGACAAGATACCGGGTTGGCATTTGAATGCTGCTACTTTTAAAATCGGGTACAGTATCTGTACTCTGAAGCTTCTAGCTCCTATTTTTCATCTATAAAGTCAACAGATGGGTTCAGCTACCGAGCATGCCCCAGGTGCTCAGTGAATGAAATGGGGTCTCAGAGATGAACGGGACCTGGACTAGAAGGGGCAGTTCTCAGGCTAGGACAGATAGAAGACGGAGAAGAGCCACCAACAGCGTGAGCATGCTGTCTTGTCCTGAGAGGCTGAGATGCAAGCTCTGGCCTAGGCTGACTAAGTCTCTAGCTTGTCCTCTGCTGAACCTCAGCGCCTGGCCGTACCTGGATACAACG